GATGCACAAGAGATTGCTCATGAACTTTGGGGTCAGGAATACCAGATGACTTATCGCGACTCTACCATCACTGATCACATTTTGATTTCACCAGAGCTCGTGCCCTTTGTCACTGGTTTTCAGGGCTGGAAAATGTTTGCCGATCACCTCAGTATTGGAGTCAAGCTGGACATCCCCATTGTCAGATTGAAACAAAAGGTGTGGCCTCTCCCAGCCGAAATTCCGTGGGATGCGATACAGTATGAGAACTGGAGACAAGCTAAGCATGATCTTCAGCCACCTGACATCCCTGGGATCGACCACCAGGTGGAACAATGGGCTAGATCCTATGAGAATAGCTTTGACGGCTATGTGGACAAGAAGATTGGCAGTTTGCCAACACCTTGTCGAGGACGATGCCAACAACGCAAACCCATTGAGCGAGAAGTTGACTGTCCACTTCTTAAACCATCTAGACCAGGAGAAGTGGTTGTGAGAACCGATTTTGTTGGTCGGGCAGTCCATCGGTGGTTCCCACAGCTCCGACGATTGCAAAGTATGGTTCATGCAACCAAAGCTGGAAAAGAGACAGCAGATGCCATTGAATACCGCATTTCGCTATGGAGGGCGATTCGCAATGCCAAAGGATTTGATGGTACTTTTGAGACCTGGTGGGAGACACGACCTACTCAATTGGCTGGTCTGGCTACATCCTTTCCTACGGAACCTCCTCCTGCCGCATTTTGCTAAGCCATCTTTGAGGACTTCCAGCTCAACTATCGGAACTTCGAAGCCTGGCATAATCGACAGCGGAAAAAGCTCTTGGTCGCCCAGTATCAGGCGAATACAAACAAGATCTCTGATGTGGTTCGGAAAGAACCCAAAGGTGGAGTCAACTACCTGGAGAAGACATCCTATGTCACCATTTTGAACAACCATGACGAGACTTCACAGGTGCACATCGACATAGATCATGATTTGGCCTTGCCAGCTTGCCTTAAGCTTGGTGACCAAGTTATACCAATTCGTGAACAAGATGGACAAGTCATCACTCTTGAGGGAGAATGGCTTTTGCAGGAGGGTCGAGAAGGTGAGATTGTGGAGCATGCGACCTTGACTCCACAGATTCAGCAACAACTTATTGACTTCTGGAAGCCTAGGTGGTGGAAGGACACTCTTCCGCAGCCGACAGAGTGGACACGCATTGTCAACTTTGCCAAAGCATATCTACCTTCTGGCTGCTTGGATCATGTTGACATTTCCACGGAAGCATGGACGGCCATCAACAGAAGGTATGGACCAAGGGCTGCTCGAGGACCTGATGGACTCAGTCAACATGATTTGCGAAAGATGCCGGAGATCTTCCAGACTGAATTGGTGAATATCCTCAATCAATGCGAAGCATGCTCATATTGGCCTGAAGTATGGAGAACGGGTTTTGTGCATTCGCTTGAGAAAAAGGAGGGAGCCACCAAAGTCAATGAGTATAGGCCTGTGATCATCTATTCCATGGTTTACAGATCTTGGGGCTCGTTGCGTGCGCAAAAATTTCTGCAATTCCTCTCAAGACTGGTTGATGACAAACAACTGGGTTTCATGCCGGGCAGGGAGGTGGCAGAAGTCTGGATGTTGCTACAAGGATTGATTGAAGTGAGCATACAAGAAGGGGAAGAGCTCATGGGATTCGTCACCGACATCCGAAAAGCTTTTGAGTCACTCCCCCGCGATCCGATCTTTGAAATTGCTTTACATTTGGGACTTCCTGCACGGCCTCTCCAGCTATGGAAGCACTTTCTCTCTACGACTGAAAGACGTTTCATGGTACGTGGTGAAATCAGTGAAGCAGTGACATCCAACCATGGATTCCCAGAAGGTTGCTCATTGTCGTGCGTGGCCATGTCCATTGTGGGTTTGACTCTACACAGCTACATGACTGAGTTTACCAGGAGGTGTGACACAATCTCATATGTCGACAACATTGAATTGCTGGCTCGACAATTGGGACATCTCCAACATGGAGTACTCACGATGCAGACATGGACTGAGATGTGGCAACTGGAATTGGATGAAGAGAAGTCGTATCTTTGGACTACAAAAGCCTCCGGACGGAAGGAAGCTAAAGTCCTTGGATGGGATGTGGCGCGATCGGCAAAAGACTTGGGAGCTCAGCTCAATTATGGCAAGTCAAAGACCATTCAGGTACAAGCACAACGTTTTGCTGGGCTGGATGGCTTGTGGCCTAAGCTCAAACGATGTGTTGCGGCTTCCTGGCTGAAACAACGCCTGCTTCGTCAAGCCTTGTGGCCAAAGGCTTTCTATGGGGTCTCGATCTGTACGTTGGGCTGGGCGCACATCAAGAGTTTGCGGACTGAAGCCATGAAAGCATTGGGTTTTCAAATGGCAGGGGCATCCCCTGGCTTAAGGCTGAGCTTGCTATGTCATGAACAATGTGATCCGGGCTTTTATCAAGTTTGGGCGGTCTTCACAACCTTTCGTAGGATTGCTGCCAAACGACCACTTTTTGTCCATGTTTGGCAACGGTATATGGAGAACTATGCAGGTCAGCCTAAACAAGGCCCCTTTGCCAAGCTGCTTGAAACATGTCAGTATCTTCGATGGACAGTGGAAGCTCCTAGACTGGCTGATGCACATGGAGTTTGGCATGATTGGCTGGAGATGGAGGAGAAAACCTTGTATGACCTGGTGAAGGATGCCTGGCTGTGGAAGGTTTACTTGGAAGTTAGCCAACGGCGAGATCTGGAAGGCCTACATGGTAGTGACCACCGAGTTGTTCTGCAAGCCAGGGCCAAAATCAGACCGCACGGGCTGGCTTCTATTTTTCGGCTGCAGGATGGCACCTTCGTGGAACCCTCCCAGCACATGAAGTATGACTTGGGCAAGACCGCATTATGCACCCATTGTGGAGGGGTGGACTCTATGGAACACAGATGTACAGCATGTCCTGGTCGGTCTCTCATCTACCAGCAACATGCACCTATTCTGCAAAAGTGGACCAGCTTTTCTAAGGCCAAACGAATTCATCTCTTGCCTTCGCAGAACCCGTTCTGGATTCCTTTCAAAACGATGGTTTGTCAATCTGATGATCAATGGATTCGAGCCTCATGGAAAGCAGAACCTTTGCATTGCCATCTCTTTACTGATGGATCATGTCATGGAAGCCGGCATCGCTCTTATCAGCTGGCTGCCTGGGCAGTAGTGAGTGCCACCGCAGACTTTTGTGTGGCAAAGGGCTCACTGGGAGGCATCGGACAAGACAATGACCGTGCTGAGCTTCGCGCAATCATTGCAGCGGTGGAATACTCCTTGGGTCATCCAGGTGAGACAACCATTTGGACTGACAGCACCTTTGCAGCGGAAGGCCTCACCCGTCTTTTGCATGATGCCAAGGACCTACCTGGTGGGCACTGTGAGGAGGACTGGATTGAACTTCAAGGGCTTATTTGCATGGGTGAAGGACGACTTCATGTCCAACATGTTCCCAGCCATGTCAGATGGAACCAGCAAGATGTGGATGTGGAGAATTGGGCAGCCAGATGGAATGACCGTGCAGATAGGGAAGCTAACATGGCCATGCGTTTACATGGTAGGGATCTTCTTGCTCTACACCGACATCTTTGGGCACACCATGAGGGAGAACTTGCAGATCTATGTGCATTACAAGAGCTACACCTGGACATTGTGGAGAAGCAGAAGGTTGCACCGAGCATTGAGCATCCTCATGAGGCAGACGAGGAGGATGGCTTTGTTGACTGGAGGGTTGATCGACGGTGCCCCGACAGTCGAATGCCGCTTGACGGGCTTCCTGAGTCATGTGACGATCGATGGGGAAAGCTCAATGATTCTTTTGGGCCAACCTTTGTGACAAATTTCATCAAGGTTCTCATTACCTGGGAGCAAGATGAGAACACAGTGATCTGCAAGGTGTCATTTCTGGAGCTTGCCGCTTTTCTGGCTGTGGAAGGACGACGATGGATTCCAGCTCCTCACACAGATCGACCAGGATGCTGGCGGGACAGAGATGCCTTCAACTTCTCTGAGCCGAATTTGGGCGCACTTGTCCGCTTGGCCAAGTCTTTCTTGAAGGCCTTTGACAGGTGTTTTTCCCTGGGTCTTTGCTGGTGCAAGGGCATTAGCTTGACCGTTTTAGATGTGTACACTCCGCTTGATGGCTTAACTTTGGCCGTTAACGCAGGAGCTGCAGATTTGATCGCACAACACTTGCGAGGTTTCACCCGGCAAAGGCCAATTAGATGGGCAAATGACCTTGCTCGCCCACTGCGGACTTGAGCATCTCTTGTCTCACAACCGCCACTGCTCACGCTGTGGCGTTGGGAACCGACAGAGAGTCCGCGCGTGATTGCATCAAAGTTGCAGTACACTGAGGCTTGGCTTACCACTCAGATTGCGATTATACATGATCAATATTCAAAAATCCTCGCTTGTTGCTTTCAACTGCTCAACTGGGTTCTCACGTTTCCCCTGCTTGGGACGATACAGCGCGAGTGGCTCAATCGCCAACCCTCCCAGTGCATGGGTTCGACTGGACCACCAGTGATGTGAACCGGGGCCTTTGGGGCCTCTAGCAGATTCCAATGGTCCAAGCATATTCTTATCCGTTTGTCCGGTGCTCAAACATGTCCGTCCGTCCGGAAATTCTCAAAAGTTCAATCATGTTCACTTGAATTTACTTGGTTGAAACACATTCGAACTGAGTATTCAAACTGTAATACCATGTGTTATCATGTAATTAAAATCATGTGGTATCATGTGATATCATGCAATATCATGTGATTGCTTGCAATGTCATGTGTTATCATGTGTAATCATGTAAAATCAGTAACATCATGTGATATCAATTAATATCATGTAAGGTTATGATGTAATAGCATGTAAGTAACCTCATGTAATTTCTAATATCATTCTAATATCTATATAATTGTCCGTTGTCAGGTTGAATCACCGGAAGCAAGTCATGCCAAGTCATGCCAGCTGGATCCGAGGCGAGCATTAGCCCTGGCCTTGTGGCTGACTGGAACAAGGCTCACCCAGGGCAAGTGCGTGTGTGCCATTTCCTGTAGACATTCATGTCTAGTAATGTCTAGTTAGTAGATATATGTAGATATAATTATATATATAAATAGATCGATAAAGGAATCACAAATAGAGGATACAAGAATATAATATACCAGATTCGTCCAGATTCACATTTACAACAAGACATGTCGCTATTATTGTCTTCAGGCCAGTCGTACAGTTTTGTATCTGGGTTAGTGTGCCTTACTTGACCTCGTCAGATAGCAAGCCATAGGTCGCGCCAGAATGAGCCACAATATTTGTCCGAACAAATGTCACAATAGAGACATCAGAATCTATCTCAGACCTTGATGTCAGAGTTGATGTCTGTGTACCATCATATTTGTCACATAAAAACTGGTGAGAGGAAGTGTTAGAATCAATGTGTCAAAACAGATGTCACATGAGATTTGCCAGATCAAATTTCAGAAATGTTGCCCGAGCATTGTATGTTTGAAGATCTGAAAGACGATATGTCAGAAGATGCCTCAGGATAAATGCCCCAGATATGTCAGAATGATAGGTTTGATATCGTAAATACTGTCGGTATATAGGTAAACAAACAGATAGAAATACAATCTCAGAATATCTCAGAATATATATATATGCATACTGTACAACATATCGATGTAGTTATATATAGTTATATAATGTTATATGCTTGTCAGCATTATTGTCAGAATGTTCATAGTACGTTGGGTATCAACCAATTTCTTCAGCTTCAGGAGAACCCGGACCTGGCCGTTCTTCCGCACGATCGCCACTTGGCCAGGGTTTCAGGGTTTCCGTGGCCACGAGGCGTAATATTGAGAGAGAGTTGCGCAACAACTGAAATGGATTTATATAAAGTTATATATAATCAGATATGCATGCATATACTGTATGGTTTACAGACTGTGCATATAAATAATATTAATTACCAATTTTTACCCCGAACATCACTGTTGCTAGAGATACTGCATATGGACATGTAAAGTAGGGGGGGAGGATACGGGTCGAGATTTAAGCCAGAAAAATAAAGGTGCTAAGCAGCAAACTGGGATGCTCTAGCAAACTAAAACGAGGATAATCCATTTGGAGTGATCGTAAGACAGTCTCCATGAGGCAAGGTTGGAGCTAAGTCCGGAGAGAATGAGAGACAGCCTGCAACTGTGACAGCCTGCAACTGGGATGTCTCATCAGGGCAAAGGATACCACATGATACCACCTAATGACCTAATTTACTATTATAACAATTCTATAATGAAGTAAAACCTAGCAGCCTAGCATGTTTGATAAACGTCCATACGTGTTCACTCTTGGGTTGCGTATCTTTCAAAACTTGAGTGATCATCCTGGTAGCTGGATCCGGATCCCCAATGATTTCCCCAAGGATAGCCCGACACCCGGATCCGCATCCAGGCATCGTTGCGGTGAACGATGTGTCAGGCAACATTGATATGAGACTTGGGATATCTTCGGGAAGGATAGGCCAAAAAGGCGGACTTGGGATGATGATTTTATGAGTTGGTGAGCTGAAGGCTTTTAAACTACGAAGAGTTATACCAAAAACTACATGGACAATATGCATATAGATTCATAAAATAAAATTAGATAGATAGATAGATATATAGATAGAAAGATAGATAGGTAGATAGATAGATAGATAGATAGAGATAGATAAATATATAAATATATACATATATATATATACATATACATATATATATATATGTATATAAATACGTGTATTTACATAGGCGTATACATATACATATGCATTTATATATAATATATGATGCATACGCACCTGCGTACAATTTTGTATATTTAGGCATGCACAGATTTGCGTACATATATATATATATACATATTCATGCATGTACAGTTTCTTTTTTAACAGCACATATGTACAATATATACAGTATATATATATATGTATAGTATGTGTATATATGTGTGTATGTATGTAAGCAATGACGACCGGGCGTGCATTCACCTGGCTATATAAACCATACAGATCTCATGGTGTGCCAATGAACGATGCTACCAGGCCAAGCCTAGCTGAGCATTTTTGCATCAAATACGGTGCACAGATGGGCTTGTAGCTGTATGATTTTGGACATTGCAATCATTAGGGCCGTATCCAAATATCACAGTGCAAGATATTTGACAGTTGTGTATATATATATATACAGGTACATACATGTTTTTTCTATTTACATGTGCTTGTGGTTTCAAGATGTTATTTCGCTTCCAGTTCTGGAATGATCACAATTTGGCAATGAATTCTTTTAGGAAAATTCTCTCAACTTTCATGGCCTCGGTACTTTGGTAAGGCGGCCACGTGTCAAAATCTACAACGCTGGCAACTACGGATATCCAACGTTAGCAAGATATCATCCCATTCATGTGTTTTTCTTTACTGGCTGATCCTCAAATTTTGTGACTAGCTGCTCGGGCTACTACCCCGCGAAAGTGGAATACGTTGGGATACATCTATATACAATGCACTTTGCGTGGTAAACCCCATGCCATACAGCATTCAAAATGTTGAATTGCACAATACAGAGAGAGAGAGAGAGGGAGAGATATATAATCATATATATGTATATATATATATACATAGCATTCACCTCCGTAATGGGGATCCACACCAGTCTGCCTAAACATTCGAAATCCAAAGAGAAGTTCCCGCATCCCTGCCAGCCGTCCCGTCCACTATGACATCACGAACGGACTTCCAAGGATCTTAGAGAAACTACGAAGCCCAGACAAGAAGCTGGTGCTGCAGTTTCAGCCCAAACCAACCGTGGGGATTGCAAGAGCAAAGAAATTCACCTGTAGAATTGATTTAGGAGGAGACATTTGGATTTTGCTTTGGGCAGTAGCATGAGATTGTGATTCTTGGCAAATGTTGATATTCTCCACTTTTGGGTGGAGTTCAAATCCAGTGCCACCATGAGCTTGGCGTTTAATTGTTTTTTGACCCTGAAATGCAGTTTCCATTGCTGTGTGAAAACCTTCTGGTGGCATGACATAATCAAAATATGTATATATACATACATACATACATATATATATATATATATTGTGTTGCATCTCAATGTCTACTTGCAGGCAGCTGTTGCGCTTCCGAGGGCACAATCCAAGCAAGCTCGCTTAAGCGTAGCGCATCTTGCGCCTTTTTGGCCGCACCACCCCAAACTCTAGTGGCTTTGGTTGCACCGGCTCAGGACAAGCGGGTAGTTCATGAATTAAGGAAGCCTGGAACGTAACTGCGAAGCCCGGCACCAATGCCATGAAAGGAACGTTGCCACTTCGGCTCTGCGAACCACAATCAGGCAGCATGGCTCAAGTGGAACAACCGTGCTCAGAGCTGAGGTTGGCCGTCAGGGTCGGCTTGACGTAGTTCCTGGTATTCTCTTTTCAGCCATAATTTGGGAGCCCCGCACACCTGCACAGGCGCTGCATTGGTCCAACCACTTGACGGCTTTGCTGTCGCAGCTTCCTTTGCAACTACGCATCCTCGAGGACATTTTGGGCTGTAGAGCATATTGGTCACAGCACCTTCTTGCCGCTACTCTTATGCTTCTGTTTCAAATATGCTACAGTCAGCCAGAACACCGTCACCTGCCATTGGCGCAGGGCAAGGTGGGAGAGGAACCTGGACCCAAACGCACGGGATTAAACCTTGATGTGGGAAGGGCTTGGGGCCCCAAAACAGAGCCTAGAATCTGGCACCCAAAAAGTGTGCCCCCACTTCTTCCGGCCTCTGTTTCTGTCCCACTCAAGGGTGTCAAAAATGGGGCCGCAAAACCGCCCACTTGTCCAGCCCTGGTGCGCAAAGTGTCCAGGGCTAACAGATCCGCATCTTGTAGCTTACCCATGCGCAGCCGCCATCGCCGCCGCCACCGGGCAACCCATTTATTGGCGGACCTTCCGACCCATACTCTGTCGCGTTCAAATTGGTGGAAGCCGGCAGGTGCGTTTGTCCTCAGCCAGCGCTCCCTTTAGTTGCTGCATCTCCATGCGTGCGAGAAAGGCTAGGGCTATAGGGAGCGAAAAGAGATGAAACAGCATGGCACGCACATATGTGTGATCTCGAGTTGCCTTGCTTTTCATGTAGGTCCTTGTCTGCAGGAACGGTGACCGCAAAGAAAGTACAGCCCCATGCTCCCTATTTCTGGCTAGGAACCCCTTGCACAGCCTGCGTGTCCTAGCCTGGCTGCGGCGTGTGCAGTGATTGCACCCCGTGACAGCTACCCAACACCACCATGGGCTATGAGATTGGCATGGATGAAGGACATGACTGCCAAGTGCAATTTCAAATCCTTCACACATGCAAACAGGTACAGTTGCAATACGCCCTGGTTAATCATGAGCACAAACATGTATTTCCATTACAAGGGCCCATGTTTGTGAAGCCTGTTTCCTGCAACAAACACGGTCCTTTTTTTGGAACTGCTTGATTGCGCTTTTGCTGCGGCTCGCTGCGCAGCAATGCACACAGCCTCAGTCAAGCACCTAGGGTGGCCATGAATGTGAGGAGGATGTTAGATGTCATTGCGGGGTACCTGAATCGACGAATGTTTGGGTATGTCTTGTGTTGTAGGGTACAACCCTAGGAGCCACTTGAAAGAATCTTCATAGAGCTTCGCAGTGCAAGTGACAACAAACACCGATTCAAGCCCATTCGCTCCCATGTGCATGCTGGGCCGGGTCTTGCCTGCTCTGTTGCCAGCATGAGTTATCCCTCAATCGCCACCGACCAGATTATCAGGAATTAAGTCATGATAGGCTTTCAGAGTGGAAGCTAAAAGGAGATGAGTCACTGAGATGAGCTATCCACAAAATAGGTGTTAGGACTTAGCAACAATGGTTGCACATAGTTGCACTTCTGGTCATGCCAGGTGGATCACCGGAAAACCCACCAGGAACAGGGGAAGAAGCTTGTGTCACGTGCTTGCTAGGGGGGAACATGGAGACCAGGAACACCAAGGAACACGAGGATGCGGAAACTGCACCAGAATGACAGGGTTCCTGAGAAACGTCGGTGGGAGATAGAATAATATCTACCAAAAGAAAAATCTCAGGAACGCTTCCAATGTGGTAAAAACGTGATTTTGAACACAAAAGTGCTTCCCATTGTGGTAAAACAGAGATTCTGTGACATAATCCACAGGGAATGGCCCGAAAAACTCCTCTGGCAGTGTTACTCGTGGTCTCCAGTCCTATTAAACAGGCTCGGACATGTTGGCTGCTAGTTGTGTGTTGGCACGGTACCTCTGAGAGCCAAACCTTTTTCAAGCAGTATGCGTGCAACAACGGACATCACCCGGCACTGGTTCTGGTGCCCCGAAAAATCTGCATTTCTTGCTTCACACTTGTGGCCCCCCATTGTATGCATATTATATATATTTATATTAAATATATATAATATAATTATATATAATTATTTTATATCTATATATAATTATATGTTTATATACTGGTTACAAAATATGTGTATATTATACATACATATATATATATATATATTATATTTTTATATATGTATGTATTCCGGTCCCCCTAACAATAGAGGATCCCAAGATAAATAGATATAATACCAAACCATGTTTCTAGGGTGGTGTTCAACAGTTTGGTGAAGATACAATTTTCATCAATTCTCGATTCTATATTGAACTGCTCCCCCAAACGCTAATGTTCAAGGTGGCCATTCACGAGAGTTCACCACCTTTACTGGAATGGCGGGCCAAGAACAACGAAGTAAATGTATAAGTATACATTACAATATTCTGATTGTGTGAAGGGAGAATGGTTCATCGCCCATTGACATACATGTACTCATATGGAGGTTTCCTAAAATGGAGGTACCCTCAAATTCTCAATTTGTTTATGGGATTCTCCATTATAAACCATCCATTTGGGGGAGTAACCCCATTTATGGAAACCTCCATACATACATATATATATATATATAGATTTATATATATATATATATTTAGATTTATATATATATATAAATATAGATTTATATATATATATAGTTGTTTGCCACTGTAGGTTTTGACCCCAGGCCCCATCGCTGGGGCAGCCGGGATGGCACTGGCGGCTGAGGAGACTGGTCCTCACATGTATGCACTACGAGGTCATGTGAGCACATCGCGATGTGATGAGAGGGCTGCGCTGCGTGATACGTTTACAGTAACACATACGACTTCATTAGTATTTTGCCAATATTTCAAAAGACAATATGATCATAGTAGAGATTGGTCAAGACTGTTGATTGATAGGTGAATCCAACTGCTATGTTGTTCCACGGTACATGGGATAGTCGGATAGTCATGATCCGACTGGGCTTTCACAATTTTGTGGTTGGCTCAACTACCAACCAGACAGGATATCGAGTGATCCAAATGAGCTGCGGTGTGTGGCTACAAAGACAATTGCAACGGCTTCGTTTGCCCCTGGATTATTGAACTATGACTATAGAAGTACTATAGATATTGTGTAGGTTCATTTTGTTCACGATGAGCTGTCATTTGAACATGTTTGAACTCTGACAATTTATGAATATAGACTATATAGACTATATTGCTATATCATATCTCTGATTACATCATTTAGATTGGTTAACCAAAATTTGATTCACTTGTTCTTCCGTAGTCAACTTGAAATTCCGTAGTCAACTTGAATCGACTTCCATGAGCCTTTGGACCTAACATGTTTTGCAGCCCCTGTTTTCGACGACCCTGGAAGCAGGGTCGCAAGGTGCCCCGCGATGCGGGGCAGTGCCATCCTAAAAGCGATGCTGGCGGTCACTTTTTTTTGGATAAGAAAGGGGCAATTCAAGCTGTTCAAGGATACTCCGTATCTGAAGGAAACATCGATTTTGGATGATTTGGTAATATGTTACTGGAAAGCAGCCAATGAAATATAGTGAAATAGATCATATGACCCCAATTGAGAAGGAGTCATGCTGGATGTAACACAGGTGGCCATATGTGGCTATAGCCATAGTGCTGCAAGTTTTTACCCCTATTCACTTGGGGATATGGACAATATCACCTTATATTATATATATATATGTTCCTGGTCCCCGTTCCCGTAGCCCCCCCCCAATGGTATGGTCCCCTACTCCCTGACCTAGAATCTTTCATTTCCATGGTATTTACAGCATTTTGGATGCAAAACCTCATATTTCCATGATATCACCTACTTATGTAGGAACTAAAGAGTATAGTTATATTACCTCTTTACTATACCTATACTACCTACAGGACCCACCCACCTCCCACATCCACAGGGTGGAGGGGGGAACCATGACCATGGGGGGGAACCATGACCATGGGGGGGAGACTATATACACCCAACTGATGGGGGAGGCTATATACACCCAACTCCCATTCACAGGGGAGAGGGGGGGAACCATGACTACCTATACTACCTACAGGACCACATCCACAGGGGGGAGGGGGAACCATGACCATGGGGGGGAGGGGGTCCCCGAACCTGGAACACATATATCCTTAGTGGCAAATGAAGGTGGTTCCTCCTATCACGATACCAAACACTTTGTCCAAAGGTCTTTCGACTTAACATTGCGCACATGGAAATGAATTGGTTGGGTGGGTGGTTCAACCACCAAGCCGGGAATGTCTACTCGAGGCACCAGTCCTCACCATTCCTCACCAAAGATTCGCCAGGTCACCAGGTCAGATAGGGGATTCCCCAGCCCCAGTGTATGTTTGAGCTTGCTTCAATGAATCCAACAGTATGGGGTCCAAATGGGATCAAAATGCATCAAAATGCATCAAAATGCATAGTTCAATACCTCAAATGGCGCTGGAGAGAGAGATACCTAAAATGAGAGGATGCTGTGGGGCCATTGGTGCCCCGATTTTGGGGCCAAAGACATGAATGCTTTCATCGCTTTTGGTGGTACGGTCGACATCAGCTTGTCACTAGCCGTTGGCTGCGTCCAGGTGTTGCAGACGGCACGTCTCGTGCTAGTCTGGTTGCGTTGATACTGCAGGAATAGCATACCTCTTTAGCATCCCAACAACAACCAAGATCTTTCTAGCCAAAATTGCAGAAACATGGAAATACAATTTACACAGAATCAGGATACCACTCACTGCACCTTTAAAAAATTAGATGTCACAATCACCAATGCATCTTGGGAATGGTGTGGATATATTGTATCTCGAACTAAACCTGAAATATGTGGCATATGAATGTATATGATATGACCATATATGACTGTTGAACATCCGCCAAAAAAAGGCACCTGACGCCCTTTCCACAGCCAGCGCCACCTCGCTACGTCTCACTGTCAAAATCAAATCCAACGTCGCCCGGAAAGGTATCCGGTGCTAGGTTCGGATTCGGGGCTCCAAATTTGATGCATATGTTCAATCTCCATGTGGATTATTGGCTTCAGATTTGCAATCCACATGATCCAATATTACAAGTAGTACTGTATATACTCATTTCTCATTCCTTGAAAGCAGATTTATGATCGCTAGTTAATTGACTCTGTCAACTGATTATGGGAGTAGTGGGTGGCCAAACAAGCACCAGGCTTGCTCTTGGAAACGGTGGCTCCCAGCCATCAGTGGGATTCTGGGGGAAAGCATGTCCAACAAGTTCTGAACGGCAATATGCGTGTAGTATATTATTATATATATATATATACATTATCATCAAAGGAAGTTGGGAAGCAATCTTCCGAGTTACGGATGACTTTTACCTGTAACAATACACTCAATGAAGGGTGGTGTGAGACTGTGGTGTGAGACTTGGCATCACATAACAATACACTCAATGAAGGGTGGTGTGAGACTGTGGTTTGAGACTTGACATCACAAAACAATACACGCGTGTCATGGCTGCATGATTGTTGTCATCTGGTGTTGCCATGCGCGTAGAGAGATGCAGGTTAGCTACAGGATGATGCGCAACGTATTGTAATGGCTGCATGCATGTTGCATGGGCTATGTTTTGGGGAGGAAGCCGGAGCACGAAACCTTGTATTTTTCCGTGTAAAGTGGCTGCAGCCGGCGATGAAAGGTACCTTGTGTGTGCGGCGGTTGCGGCTGCGGTCGTTCCGGGCGTAATGGGTTCCTCCTCTGTGTTCTGCAACGAGTGGCTGTTCCTGTGTGCGTAGTTCTATACGTTTCTTGAATCTGTGGTTGCAGATCGCATTGGAGGGGCTGCATGATTGTTGTCATTTGCTGTTGCCATGTGCGTAGAGAGATTCAGGTTTGCTACGGGATGCTGCGAAACGCATTGTGATGGCTGTCTAAGGTCTAGGTGGCTGGGCGCCCCGGCTGCATGTGTAAGACTAATCCCGTCCCCCTCCCCCCCCTCCCCTATTAATAAAAACCTTTAGGGAGTATTTATGGATTTCGAAGCGGACCCTATTAATGAATTTCAAACCTTATTTCCTTATTTAACGCAATTAAAATAGTGCCAAAAATTGGATTTCGATGCGGACCCTATTAATAAAATTAAAACCTTAATGCTACTGTAAAAACTAGTGTGTTTGATTTCAAAATCAATTCAATTTCCTTATATAACGCAATTAAAATATTGCCAAAAATTGGATTTCGAAGCGACCCTATTAATAAATTTAACCTTAATAATAAAAACTTTGTTCGATTTCAAAATCAATTAAATTTCCTTATATAACGCCATTAAAATATTGCCGCAAATTGGTTTTCGAAGAGAGCCTTAATAATAAATTAAAAACCCAAGTAAGAAAATCAAAATTTTCGGACGGACCCTATTAATAAACACCCCGGGGTTAACTAGTTTTTATTTTTAGGGTGCAAAACCCACAAATGGTAGCTTTATTTTTAAATTGTTTTCTAAAGGGGATCAATTAAAAGTCAAATTGGCCAACCTGAAATTTTCCAAACTGGGAGATGGACCCTAGTTTTTAGTATTTGGGGGACGTTTAGTAATAGGGGGAAAGGACTATTCTCTTTTGCAGCTGGACATCGTAAATCGTATTGGAGTGGCTGCTTGACAGTGATTTGTCAGCAGATTTTTCAATTTTGGCGCTAGTCATTTTCCTTTTAAAAATCCTTTTAAGAAGTGCTTCAAAATCGCGTTTTTTCCGCTTTGGCGCCGAGATCCGGCTTTGGAGCTGCAATTCCTGTTGTGATTCTGTACGAGAAAGCTTCTCTGTGTAATTTGTTTTCTGTAAAGCTTGCTGTGTGTAAAAGATGGTGTGTAAAAGCTTCTCTGTTTAAAAAGCTAATGCTGTGTGTAAAATTTCTCTGCGAAAGAACTTGCTATGTGTAAAAGCTTTCTTTGTGCAAACTTTGTATCACAAAGTAGTACCGGGACGTACTTTGTGCAAGGTTTGTAGTCCAAAGTAGTACTGGGACGTACTTTGTGCAAGGTTTGTAGTCCAAAGTGGTACTGGGAAGTGCTTTGCGCAAGCTTCGTAGTACAAAGTAGTGCTGTTGTAGTACAAAGTAGTGCTGGGAAGTGCTTTGTGCAAGTTTTGTAATACAAAGTAGTACTGGGACGTGCTTTGTGCAAGCTTTGTATTACAAAGTAGTGCTGGGAAGTGCTTTGTGCAAGCTTTGTAGTACAAAGTTGTACTGGGAACTTCATCTCATCTCAAAGCATGTGAGCTCTTCTCAGCTCTTCTCATCTTATCCCATCTCCTCTCACATATCATTTAAAAAAGTTTAACTGTTTTCATCTCATCCGAGCACTGATCAACCTTTCCCATCTCCTCGAAATTGTTCTCAACTCATCTCAGCTGTTCTGCACGCCAGAAAGCTCTTACTGTCAGAGAGAAGTCTCTTGCACAAAAAAACATTGGGCGCAGAAAGTTTTTGCACACAGACACTTGAGACACAGATGCATTTACATACAAAAGCCTTTCCGAAATACTTTGTATACTACAAAGCTTGCACAAAGCACTTCCCAGTACCACTTTGTACTACAAAGCTTGCACAAAGCACTTCTCAGTACTACTTTGTACTACAAAGCTTGCACAAAACACGTTCCAGTACTACTTTGTAATACAAAGCTTGCACAAAACACGTTCCAGTACTACTATGTATTACAAAGCTTGCACAAAGCACTGTGGAGTGCGAAGTGCAAGTGTGAAGTGTGGAGTGTGAAGTGCGAAGAGTGCAGTGTGAAGTGTCCGGGAAGTT